AATACAGTCATCCAGTCTGGGTAACGGGAACGAGTCGGGCACTGTGACAGCATTGACTTTCCGATAGTCCGTACATAATCTGGATGTCCCATCAGGTTTAGGAACCAGAATGCACGGAGAACTCCAAGGACTTGAACTTGGCATAGCCAGGTTATTCTCCAGCAAATAACCGACCTCACCCCTCATTATCTTTCTCTTAGCGACGTTGACACGATAAGGATGTTGCTTGATAGGTGCAGCGTTTCCAACATTAATGTCATGTTCTAACACATTAGTACATGTAGGAACATCATTAAAAAGACATGGAAAGCTGTGTAATAGTCTCACAATATCATCTGACTGTCTGTCCGCTAAATGAATCAGGCTAGACGGGAGAGACAGCAGCATCTCCGAATTGGGCAATCTAGCACACTGCTGCTGAGTATTGCGCAACTCCAAACCATCTCCGTCCACATCATTAACATGACCTCCCACTACAGCCGTAGCAGCAATAGAGACAGCCGACTCGGCCAGTTTCTCTGGACTGTCTACCTGAGTGACGGGTCTGGTGTGGTATGTCTTCAACATGTTAACGTGGCACACACGAGATTGGCGTTTTCTATCAGGAGTCTGTATCACGTAGTCAGTTTCAGTTAGTTTCTTTTCAATGACATAAGGACCAGAGAAACGTGCTGACAATGACGCTCCTGGCACAGGCAATAACACAAGAACTCGGTCACCTGGCTGCAGTGCACGAGAAACAGCCTGTATGTCATAGTGTCGTTTCATCCGTTTCTGTGAGGAAGACAGCGCTTCCTTTGCTAGAGCACAGGCAGCATGTAGGCGCTCACGAAAGCGACTAACGTAGTCCAACACATTTTCTTTCACACACAACTCTTGTGACAAAAACTGATCCTTAAGGACTTTCATAGGTCCTCTCATGGTGTGTCCAAACACCAGTTCAGCTGGGCTGAACCCTAGGGATTCCTGTACTGTCTCACGGACAGCAAACAACACTAGAGGAACTCCCTCATCCCAATCTTTCTCAGATTCCAAGCAATATTTACGGAGCATAGACTTCAGGGTCTGATGCCAACGTTCAAGCGCACCCTGAGACTCTGGGTGATATGCGCTTGACACACGGTGTGTAACTGACAAGGATTTTAACACTTGTTTGAAAAGTTTAGAAAGGAAATTCGTACCCTGATCAGTTTGTATCACCTTAGGTAATCCAAAAGTTGAGAAGAACTTGATCAACGCTTTACTCACCACCGGAGCAGTAATCCTTCGCAGAGGAATGGCCTCTGGGTACCTGGTGGCCACACACATAATTGTCAACATAAACTGGTTACCAGATTTTGTTTTTGGTAATGGTCCAACACAATCAACCATCACATGCTCGAATGGTTCACCTATGGCCGGTATGGGACAAAGAGGCGCGGGGAAAATAACCTGGTTCGGTTTCCCAACTACTTGACAGGTGTGGCAAGTCCGACAGAACTGAGCCACATCTTGTTTTAAGCCAGGCCAAAAGAAATGTCGCAAAACTCGATCATAAGTCTTGGTGACTCCCAGATGTCCGGACCACTGGTGATCATGAGCGAGGGATAAAACATTTTGTCGAAAGGCTGTAGGAATCACTATTTGGTAAACAGCATTCCAATCTCCGCCAGCGTCAACATGGGATGTCCATTTACGCATGAGGAGATTACCATCAATGAAGTATGCCATGTTTTTTCTTCTTTAGCTCCTCCTCTGAGACAACACCAGAAAAACATTTAGCCAGGCTAATGTCAACCTGTTGGTTAGCGATCAGCTGCTCACGAGTAACTGGTAACTGTATTGCCTCCGCAACAAGTTCCACATCCTTCTTCCTTTCTCTGGGCTGTTGGTCAGACTGCACCAGCTTACCAGAGGTAGCACCCGCACTATCCTCTGGGTCACACTCTCTGAATAGAATCGTGTCTGACAAATCTATCACTTCACCCACTTGTCGTGCTTGAGCACGTGTGACAGCACAAGCGGGGAACACATCTGGATAACCCTGTGCCAGCTCCTCAGAGAGAGACTGGTCACTTTTATCCAATACCTCCAATATGGGTATTACCTTTCCTCCGGCAATATCGTTGCCCATTATAAATGTCACCCCTTTTACTGGCAACATAGGACGTACGCCAACTCTGAACAATCCACTGACTAACTCAGAGTGTACGTTCACAAAGTGCAATGGCACTGGGACGAAACCCATTTCAATTCCTTGTACTAACACACTGGAACCACAATATGTATTATTAGACAAGGGCAACACATCAGCTAGTATGAACGACTGCGCCGCACCAGTATCTCTGAGGATTCTAACTGGACGCTGAGACGCTTCGTCATCCGATATAGAAACAAACCCCTCAAAAATAAACGGTTCATAACTGTGATCTAGGACAGGGACTTTCAAACCACATTCACTATGAGGCTTCTGTCTTGATTCCGGCCTTACAACCGTACGAATCAGCCCAACACCCGTTGGCGGCCTGGCGTGCTGAGTCATCCCCGGCTTGCGTTTAAGCAAAAAGCAATCACTAACCAAATGTCCCACCTTATGACAATAGAAACAGTGACGCACATCTTTTGGGCGTGCTGGATGTACTGCTGGTCGACTAGGACTAGAAGTTAGCAACTCCTCAGCCCTGCTCTCCGTACGAGCCGAAAACACGCTCTTATGCGTCAACACAAACTCGTCTGCCAATACAGACGCTTCCGACAGTGAGGATACTTTCTGTTCGTTCAGATAAACTACAATGCGTTCCGGTAAACAATTTTTAAACTCTTCTAACAAGATTAACTCCCGTAGAGAGTTAAAATCAGTTACCTTACTAGCACTGTGCCATTTGTCAAACAGATTTCCTTTGTCTCTAGCAAACTCCACATAAGTCTGAGTAGGAGACTTTTTATGAGACCTAAATCTCTGTCGATATGCCTCAGGAACAAGCTCATAGGCACGAAGAACAGTAGCTTTGACCACTTCATAATTCAAACTGTCTTCAAGAGGTAGCGCTGCCAGAACCTCTTGGGCTTTACCTGTCAGTTTACACTGAAGTAATAGGCACCATACCTCTTCGGGCCATTTCAATGCTACCGCTATACGTTCAAACACACTGAAATAGGAATCAACCTCTGACTCCCTAAACACAGGTACCAAGGTGATCTGTCTACTAATATCAAACGTAGCAGATGACACAACTGGTGAGGATGGCTCACTAGCAGGCATAGTATTAGCAGAGACTAACCTCGCTGTTTCTGCCTCTAGTTCCATTCTACGCATCTCCAGTTCTTGATCAAGCCTACGCATCTCCAGTTCCATCTTACGCGTCTCCTGTTCTGCCTCTAGCTTACGCGTCTCCTGTTCTGCCTCTAGCTTACGCATCTCCAGCTTGTCTTGCCTGATTTGTGCCCGCTCTTCCGCCTCCATTTGGAGCCGTGTCAAGCGGACATCCATCCTGGCATCACTGTTAGTCAGTGGGGAGAGTGGGTCATAACGGGGCAATGTGGCTGGAGCCTTAGCCTCGTCCTCAGACACTGATGGGCTTACAGAAACAGCAACCACATCCCCTACATGAGAAGCAGACTCAGGCGGCGGTAACACAAGCACTCGCTCGCTCAATAATATTTCTAACACTACTTCCCTAACTTCTGCTTTCACTAAACCCCTCGGTATGGGTAAAGAAAAGTGGTCAGCCAAAGCCTGTAGATCCACTCTACGGCAATTCTCAAAAACCCCCCACGTAGGGTTTTCCAAAAATGCCCCTAACTCAAAAGTAGCCATCCTACTAGCAACACGAGCCGTCGACTACTGAACACACACAAAAAAAACAGGTAGTACAGCTGCCAAGCTCAACACTGAACCAGACACTTACTAATTTACATGAGTAGCATGGGATAGATCCCGGACGAGCCCCCACTTTATGTTACGAACCCCGTGGCTTTTAAACGTCTAGGGTGACGGACATGAGACCCGTAACATAAATTCATGCAAATTATAAGTGTAGTATGGAACAGTGAGAACAAATAGGACACAACTACCATGAACTACCGTCAAACACACATGGTTTATTTCAGAACACACGGTAAGGGTTTGGGAAAAAGGGCTGAGCAGGACCCAAGAAATGAAACAATAGTGTAAAACCCCCTAAACTGATCTAGCCTGCCTGAAGAACCGCTAGGCTACTGCTAATCATACAAAAGTACAGTGGGTGGTCCGCTCAGGTCTAACTAGTGTTTTTAGACAGATTTCTTCCTACGGGTAATGTACGCCCAAGGGCAACTAGCTTAAACTCCCCTTTTCCCAGAAACACACAAAGCTACAAAACAGGGTAATCAGCAATAAAGTACGTACACAATACACAGGACACAACAGTATCCATACTCACATAAAGAAATGGATTCTAACAAAGTTACCAATAGGGTAACCAACAACTTAGTGAGTACACATCACACAGGACACCACCGTGTCCATACTCACATATGGCAAAAATCTCTCTCCCTCAACAAACACAAGACTGGTTTTTATATAATGGAATGTGTGATTTAACAAACGAGTAACAGGTGGTGCAATGCACAGGAATGTTCACTGATTGGTCCAATCAGCAGACACCTCCACGACCACCAATCAGGAACATACAGGACACCTGTGATTAGGGCAGAAGGAGAGAAACACACAAGAACACAGGATACCTGTATCCGTAACAGTCCTACTATAAGGATGTGGTCAGGTTGACACACTTCTCAGTCACAATAATAAGGAGAGAGACAGACACACACACACCACAGAGTGCAAGGGTTACTACAATGAGAAGTTGGGAAAATGAAGTCTGCTGCGTGCTTGCCCGATACACACACACACTTAATTTAGGTTAGTGTGTAGTCAAGGCTTTGTCATTAAAATAATATTATTTATTCATATTCTTTCAGATCTGCCAACCAGGCTAGATGAGTGACAGTTAACCGTGTCTCCATCGAGCTGTTCCAGGCCTGGAGTGGCACGCTGGAACTTCCAGAGGCTTGTGGACCTGAAGCAGTGTGATGTGGTCCAGGTAATTTTCAAACACACATATACACACTTACTCAATCAATCACTCACTCTGTTTTATTGTATAATTATTTTCACTTAAGAAAATTGTGCCTCTCTCTTTTAGATCTTACACCTCTATCAGCTCAACCACAGCCCTCACAGCCGCAGTCGTCTGCCCCCGCACCTGCTACACTGGCCGAGACAAGTGATACAGGTAATTGTAAACACACATGCATACTTTCCTTCACTAAGGGCTCTATTCAATCAGATATGTTATAGCCGACATCCGCATAGCGGTTGTTTTGGCGGTGTTAGAGGTGGAACTGCCGTAGAGCTGTCAAATCCGTAAAGGGAGAAACTTTTGAGGATTCCCAGATGGATACAGGTAATTCAGAATTATATTACATACACATATGCTCAAATTATATTACATACGCTCACTCAATCGCACCAACAGACATGCACACACAAACATGTTGTTGAGCTGCATACTTACTGTCACTTTGTGCATACACTGTGCATATCAAGACTGACAATGCAGAGATGGGTGGCTGACAAGGAAAAATAAAACACAAAATGATATTTCTCTCTGTGTTACACACACACACACACCCATTAGCGCCAATGTAAATAAATGTTAATTTTTTGTTTATTTTATGTATGCTCCATTTTATTTTAGGATTGGAGATATCTAGGCTTACATATCCATTATACATACAGTGAGGGAAAAAAGTATTTGATCCCCTGCTGATTTTGTACATTTGCCCACTGACAAAGAAATGATCAGTCTATAATTTTAATGGTAGGTTTATTTGAACAGTGAGAGACAGAATAACAACAACAAAAATCCAGAAAAACGCATGTCAAAAATGTTATAAATTGATTTGTATTTTAATGAGGGAAATAAGTATTTGACCCCCTCTCAATCAGAAAGATTTCTGGCTCCCAATTGTCTTTTATACAGGTAACGAGCTGAGATTAGGAGCACACTCTTAAAGGGAGTGCTCCTAATCTCAGCTTGTTACCTGTATAAAAGAAACCTGTCCACAGAAGCAATCAATCAATCAGATTCCAAACTCTCCATCATGGCCAAGACCAAAGAGCTCTCCAAGGATGTCAGGGACAAGATTGTAGACCTACACAAGGCTGGAATGCGCTACAAGACCATCGCCAAGCAGCTTGGTGAGAAGGTGACAACAGTTGGTGCGATTATTCGCATTTGGAAGAAACACAAAATAACTGTTAATCTCCCTCTGCCTGGGGCTCCATGCAAGATCTCACCTCGTGGATTTGCAATGATCATGAGAACGGTGAGGAATCAGCCCAGAACTACACGGGAGGATCTTGTCAATGATCTCAAGGCAGCTGGGACCATAGTCACCAAGAAAACAATTGGTAACACACTACGCCGTGAAGGACTGAAATCCTGCAGCGCCCGCAAGGTCCCCCTGCTCAAGAAAGCACATATACAGGCCCGTCTGAAGTTTGCCAATGAACATCTGAATGATTCAGAACTGGGTGAAAGTGATGTGGTCAGATGAGACGAAAATCGAGCTCTTTGGCATCAACTCAACTCACCGTGTTTGGAGGAGAAGGAATGCTGCCTATGACCCCAAGAACACCATCCCCACCGTCAAACATGGAAGTGGAAACATTATGCTTTGGGGGTGTTTTTCTGCTAAGGGGACAGGACAACTTCACCGCATTAAAGGGTCGATGGACGGGCCATGTACCGTCAAATCTTGGGTGAGAACCTCCTTACCTCAGCCAGGGCATTGACAATGGGTCATGGATGGGTATTCCAGCTTGACAATGACCCAAAACACACAGCCAAGGCAACAAAGGAGTGGCTCAAGAAGAAGTACATTAAGGTCCTGGAGTGGCCTAGTCAGTCTCCAGACCTTAATCCCATAGAAAATCTGTGGAGGTAGCTGAAGGTTCGAGTTGCCAAACGTTAGCCTCGAAACCTTAATGACTTGGAGAAGATCTGCAAAGAGGAGTGGGACAAAATCCCTCCTGAGATGTGTGCAAACCTTGTGGCCAACTACAAGAAACATCTGACCTCTGTGATTGCCAACAAGGGTTTTGCCACCAAGTACTAAGTCATGTTTTGCAGAGGGGTCAAATACTTATTTCCCTCATTAAAATGCAAATCAATTTATAACATTTTTGACATGCGTTTTTTCTGGATTTTTTTGTTGTTATTCTGTCTCTCACTGTTCAAATAAACCTAGCATTAAAATGATAGACTGATCATGTCTTTGTCAGTGGGCAAACGTACAAAATCAGCAGGGGATCAAATACTTTTTTCCCTCACTGTATCTACATAACTATTATCTATCAAATCAAAATGTGATATATTGTATATTGATAATTTTGTAATACAGTATTGCTTAATGTGTACAGTTTAAAAACATGCCTCTCTTTCACACACACACACACACACAAACACACACACACACACACACACACACACACACACACATATATTAGTAATAAATAGTTATAACTTGTTTATTTTATAAATAGTAATAACTTATTTATTTTACATATGCTCCATTTTATTTTAGGATTTTGTGCAATAAAGTACATTCACAGTTAAAGCAACGTCTTTGGTTTATTGGATATTTCTCTGATTAAAATGAGTGACCAAAAGGAAGTCGGCAGACCTGCAACCCTCTGGGCGTGTGTGCACGTTTTGTCATCTGGAGCTGAAACGGCCCCAACAGCCCTCACATACAGTATGTACAGGGTTCCCAGGAGTGGCAGGCAAATATGTTTATTGTCCTGCAAAAGTATTTTGTATGTGCCAAGGCCATTCCCTAACTACCCATCCAAATTGCTCTGGCCATTCTGACATTTCTTCTCGACAATTAATTTATGTAGCGATCGATAGAGCAGCGGAATTAAATTCAGGGTGAGTCGTTAGGTAATCAAGGCCAAGGAATAGAGAGAGAGAGATGACCTAGAGGGAGTTCCAGACCTCAGCCTTTTATGAAGCAGAAAAGCAGATGGCTGACAAGGAAAAATAAAACACAACATGCACACACACTCCTTCTCTCTTTCACACACACACACACACACACATATTTTAGGATTGGAAATATCTAGGCCTACAACTCTCTAGAGTGCAGTTTAAAACAACCAAAATGTATCATCAATATTATCTTTAATAACTGACAAAATTCTATAATGAATACATATTAGAATAATAATAATAGAGTGACCAATAGTTACTGTATTGTGATTGTTTAGAGTTTTAATTTGTCAACAAGTAGTGTCCCAGGGTGGGATTGAACCGTGTCTCTAAAGCAGAAGAAAAGGTCAAATAAGGTCACAAAAAATTCAGTTACGGCTATACACGTCTGGCTCTTTGGGACCAGCGGCAGGTGCTTACGCCCATCCACCATCTCTGTCCACAAGGCTTAATTGAAAGTAACAGCGCTCACTGTTGCCCCTAGTGGCCGGTTTCCAAGTAATCTCCCGACATTCTCAGACATGGATGGACGTCGAATACTGACTTGTATCATGGGTGACCTGCCTGGTAATTGTAGATGTATTTATGTAAAAAATAGGGACCACAATGGAAATAAGTTCCCGACTTTCTTGTGCAATCCCGTTCACTTACAAATCGTTGTACTGTGTGTATATATCAGTGGCGATTTTAGCATGTAAATCTTGGTGGGGCAAACAAAACAAAAACATTGGGGATGCACAGTCACTAAACAACACAACACTAAACAATACATTAGTTGCACTATAATGGTGATAAACTGTGCCCACAAACTGTTAGGGCCTACATAAAGCTGTCCCAACACATTACCACTGCTACACCTGGCTCTCAGCGGAGCCTTGTCTGGCAGCGAAACAGTTCATTCAGCCTAATTTACTGCCTTTTAAAAAAACATAGCTGATATGGCTGACTTGCTTAAACAAATATGGTTTCTACTGACAATTGAGATGTACAAACTATGGCAGAAGGGGACGACAAGCGGATAAGAGGATATCCGTAATTTCGATTAAGACATTAATGAGTGAGCTAGGACAGACGTAGTCAATATAACTATTTGTTCAGAACTTTTGAAATGTACAGCGACAGAATTCAGAACATGGGCCGTTCTTACAGGGTTCTCCCTGTACATCAAGTCAGAACCTTGGGATAAATAAAGGGGGCATATAAGTAGACAATGAAAGCTCTTACAATATTCAATGATTACATTTCTCTAAAACAGGTTATAGGCTACATGTGCACCACCAAGTCAGAATAGTAGGCGAAATTAAGAGGGGAATATAGACCAAATTATTAGTGTGAGGCACATGGGCTACTAACAGCTTACTACACAACATACACTTAGTATAACTTTCTTAGTTACAGTATACATATCTCCCTGGCATATTACATCATTTATGCAGCAGCGTACAATACATTTTTGGAATCACCTTGTTGTGCTCACTTGAACAGGAAGGTGGTGCGGCAGTCCTTCATGGTCAAACTTTGTCATCAAATTCTGGCATTCTCTGGATTTATGGTGCTTTCAAGACAACTGATCGAATCATGATGATGTCACTGATCTTCAGGTCGTAGCTCTAGAAAGAGGCCAGAGTTCCCGACTTACAATTCCGAGTTGGATGACCGTTCAAAACGTATTTTCCTGGTCGGAGCTCATTTTTTCCCATGTTCCCAGTTGTCTTGAACTCCCTGTAGTCAGATTTCCCAGTTCCGAGTTAACAGTTGTTTTGAGTGTGGCAGAAATCATGCTGGATTGACAGCATGGCCAATGTTGACTGTTTATCATTTTAAGCTTGGAAAATAAACCCTTAAATCCAGAATTGGGACCACACACCCACTCCACTGAAAAGCAGGCTAGTGATTGCTTTGCAATGCTTGCAGTTAGCCACTGATTCCTTCCAAACCACTCATTGTTGAATTTACGATTTCCAACTTGTTGTGTAATGTTTATGTCCAATGGCCGATGAGCACCAATATGTTTTATCTATAATTATTTCTCTTCATAATTTCTCTTCATATGACAAGGATTAAAAAGGATTTGCCAGTAGATTGTCGACTTGATTCATGCTGATGACTGCTAGCTAAGATTTTGAAAGTATGATGTTGACATGATCAGTCCAATCAAAGCTACTGTAGATATAACGTGATTTGACGTCATTTTATCTGTGGCCAATGACCTTGAGCCTTCTTGGATGGGCACTTCTAATGTAACTCTATGGCAGCACCCAAGGGGCTTGACTTTTCGAGCTCTACCCTTAGATTTTGCAGTGACGTAGTGTCCCATGAGTGACAGAACACTGAGCCAATCACGGCACAACTAGAGACCTTCTGGCCCGTAGCCCTGCGTGGCATGGCCTGTGCCACAAAGCAAGCTAATGTGGCAAAGTCAATATCCACGTTTATAAACACAGGGTCGCTACAGTTATTGTTATTTGTAGTCGTAAACATTATTTTGAGTTAATTCTATTAGGGGGAGGGTGTGCAGTTTTCTTTTTACAGTACAAGGGGAGGGTTATGTGAAAATATTTGTAACATTGGGAAGGGTTAGGGTTAGGGTTAGGGTTAGGGTTAGGGTTTTATGACACCTTGAGTTGGACCCCCCAAGTAAATGTCGATCTATCCCTAACCTTCTCTCTTATGTATATATACCAAACATAACATATCATACTTATTTGAGGGTCCCAGAATTACGTTTACTATGTTACGTCTACTCTATGAGACCAGGCTGTGTGATTGGGTCTGGTGACTTGTATGTCTGTAGTTTAAAAATGAAGTAATGGCGGAAATTTGTTCAAGAGGGATTTATAAGAAGGCTTTTGAATGCGCTGACAATACTTGATTATAAAATGTTTCGTGCATTGTTACAATGTTGCATCACCCAATCAAGTAGTAAACTTCAAAGTATCCATTCCTCCTGAAATTGAAATTGCTCAACCATACTTAATGCAGCCCCGTTTGCACGCAACCTATCAGTGCCATGTGGTGGCACGTGCATTCCGTAGCAAGATTGTTTGCGCCTACAGCGTAGCTGACTACAATGTCTTAAGAACAAGACGGATTTATCCATGGCTAGAAGATAAACCATAGCAAATCAATTCAACGGGTGACCATTTATTTAAATTTTTGCAATCTATATCGGAATAATGATTGAAAATCAATGCTAACATTTTCATTCATAATATACACGTTGATCATTCGACAACAAAGTCAGCCAACATTGGATGTATGCAGACAGCTGTCCCAGTTAGTTACAGCTAAGCTGCTTCCCATCTGATGATTTGGCAATATTAATGTTTTATTCTAAACTAATTTACGATTGACAGTTGTTTGGATCAACACGCACAATCCTAGACATCGACAGCGCCTCAATAAAACGGACCACCGGTATCTTCATTAAAATGGCTTCAATACTAAGTTATTTCAGTGGTCCTGAGGAGCTGGATGACGTAAATCATGCCAGAGGTTTGATAAAAGAACTGAAATTATTCTACGACTCGCAGCTCCTCACCGACATTACCATTCATGTAGAATGTGACCAAGCGCCCCTGGATCATTGAGTGGGAGAGTCTGGCAAAAGTGGTTGCACTGGCACCACCATGCAACCGAAACATTCTTGCTGCTGCCATCACTTACTTCAAAAGCATGTTCACAGGTGGTCTCAACGAGAGCACGCAATAAAAGTGAAAATACACGGCGTGGACCGCGTCTCCGTTTCTGTAATAATCGACTACTGTTATACCGGTAGGGTGACAATCACGGAAAGCAATGCGCAAAGGCTATACACGGCCGCTAATATGCTGCAGCTCGAGTACATCAGACAAGCTTGCTCAAGCTTTAAGACCAGGAGGCTGGACCTCTCCAACTGCATGGGGATTTTAAAGTTTGCAGATTTATGGCAATCCTGATCTAAAGGTCAAGGCACAGGCCTTCATTGCCAGGATCTTTTTCCAACTAAGTAGCAATGGTAGAGAGCTTTGTGAGTTGGACTTGAGACAAATGAAAGAGATTCTGTCATTAGACACCTTGGATGTTGACTGTGAAATGTAAGTGTGCTCAGCTGCGTTGCAGTGGATCGAGGCCAATGTTCCTGAGGAGACAGAGGACGCTTTGCAGGTGTTCCGATGTGTGCGGTGGCGCTTGTTTACAGACAAGGACAAAGCTTACCTGGACGACCTTAAGGTGACGCCTGGCATAGATAAAATACCTTGCACAATGTATTGAAGGGTCTGTGGAGGAGGACAGCATTGCAGTATCTGCAGGGGTAGACATACCTAAGCACAGGATAGTATGAGTGCCAAAGAGTTGCTCAACTTCTTTGGGCTGCCAAACGACAACATAATGTGCTGCAACCCTTACTCTGAAGAACTTTACGCAATGGTGTCCCCTCTCATGAGCCTTACCAGTCAGGATGTCAGGATTACAACAGTTTGTCTGTGGAGTCATTTTTCACCTATGAACATGCCACACCAGAAAACAATTTGTACCTAGCCTCACACCTCTCCAATCACTTCTGGGTGTACAACCCTCTGCTGAACTGCTGTCAGGAGTTAGCAGAGAAGCTGCTGGGAAGGGTACATGCTGGGATCGGTTATCTCAGTGGTCATGTTTACATCCTGGGTGGCAGGAACCCCACTACAGATGCCAGACTGAAGGAGGTGGAGTGTTACAGCATCCAGAGGAACCAGTAGACATTCGTAGCCACTCTCCCGCACTCCCTGGGCAAGATGCAGACGGTGACGGCCAACAACCATCTCTACGTGGTCAACATGTGGCGGATGCTCTGAAACGAGCCCAAAAGGAACCGCTGGCGTCACTGTGGCTCGCTGAGAAGAAACAAGCTCCACAAAGCCTGTGTGTTTCAGGACCAGATCATCTGTTTGTGAGATTTACCAGTACTGAAGGCCCTATCCGAGGGGAGTAGAGGAGGATGGGGGATGTTCCCATTGATAGAGGGGTTCTAAACTACCAGGTGATTCAGCACAATGGCAAGCTGCTTCTGCTCACCCAGACCTTACTGCAGCACAATAAGAACAGAGTTCTCATTCACTAGTACGACCCGACCAGGGACAGCTGGAAGTATGTGACGACCGTGTTTGTATCCTCCCTGGGTCCCATGTGTGTTTCGACACGCGTCTACCTGGCGTGTTTGGGCTCAGCTCAGAGCTTCGCCACGGAGGAGGACAATGACAGCGGGTCTAGTGCCGACTGGGACTTTGACGGCCTGACGTATGCAGACTCGAACTCTGGGAGCTAATGTTCATTCTCAGATGAGAACTGCTAGCAAAAGCACTGTTTCTTAGCTGTGTCCTAAAGCAGGGAGGGACATTTACTGTCACTGGGGGCTGCAGTGTGTGTGAGCAATTGTTCTGGCTCAACACACTTAATTTAACTAATTTAGGTCTATAGGATGAAGGTGTTTTGGTTGTTCTGGCCTGGACACACTGTAGCCCTCCATGGCCAGGATTGGCCACCCCTGTCACGCGACGTGTATGCGGTAGCGAAGTCAAAAGCAGGACACAGAGCGGCCGGCAACGTATTTTACTGAACACAGTAAAATCAACGTACAAAACAACAAACCTCCAAACAGGGAGGAAAGCACAAAGACCCGTACATACAAGAACTGCCGGAATGACAACAAAACAATAACACACAAAATACCAATGAGAGACAGGGGTTAATATAGGGAATACAATCCAACATAATGGGAAACAGGTGTAAACAATAAAGACCAAACAAGACAAACACCGAAACATCGATCGGCAGCAGCTAGTACTCCGGGGACGACGAACGCCGAAGCCTGCCCGAGCAAGGAGGAGGAGCAGCCTCGGCTGAATCCATGACAACCCCTGTCTTAAAGGGATTGTTCATAATGAAATTACTAATTTGTTTCCTTACCTTGAAAGTATGAAATTTTTTTTTTTTTTTTAAATCAACATCAGCCCAGGCAAGCAAAAATACATACTTTTGTAAAAAGTAATAAACTCTTCCTTGAGTTGACCACTGGTGAATAGACTGGACAGGTTTATTCTGTTTTTGCAAATAAACCTAGGCCCTGTTTGAATAGAATACTTTATGCATCTATCCCTCCTCATCTCCTTGAAATAATAACTGTTTGTTCTGAGATGATCAGATTGCTGAAAGCAGTGTAGCGAAAGCCTTGCTCTCACCTATCTCAATGTGTGAGATAAGTGATTAGGCGACATTAAGGCAGAGATAAGACCACAGGGTATTTCCGGATCAAAGCAGGTCATAAAAACCTATACTGACATGGTGACTTCTACCATATGTACAGAAACTGCCCATCCAGTGGGTCTGTCTAAAGTGAGATTTTTGCACAGAATGATCATTATTTGGCTAATAATGGGGGCCTCGAGGCCTGTGTGGGGGGTTTGAGCAATTCTTCTCCATGATACAGTATGTACTATATAATGACATGGATGAAGACATGTATGAAGCTACAGTATGTAGGCCTATACTCTCTCAGGTTAAACTTGAGCAATAGCCAGTATGCCATGATTAAAATAACTTATTTTGAATTTAAGTTAAATGATTGTAAAATTATGCTGTTGTATTATGAAAATCACAATAGTGATAATAATTTTAACCTTATTTTATTGCTAGTGTTTCTGCTTCATGTAATTAATATGTCCATTGTGTGAGAATATAGATAAGAATGGAGAGCATTATTGTTTCTACACATTTTTAAGGGCCTGACGTCTGAAATATTGTTTGTTCTTTAAGAGTTATAATTCCATTCTCTGGAAAATGTCATGCATGTTGCAAAAATGATCATATAGCCTTCATAAAGTCATTGCCATTCACATTAAACATTGTTTCTGACGTGCATATCATGTGACACAGCCAGAGGAGCTTAGATCAGAGTTGGAATGTTTTATCTGTTTTTAGGATACATGCTTTTAACCATCAGCACACAGGGCTTGGTTTATAATGATGTATTTTTTGGCTGTTTTAATAGGCTACATGTGTTGGTTTGTAGAAAAAACCCTACTGTGAAATAAATCTGTTTCTGCTGAAATTGACTGAGTTGTTCCTCTGTCACTCATTTCTTTGGACTAAATCTGAAGCGGCAGAAAGCATTAGAGGCATCTCAACAATTTCTCAAGCATATGCTGAATGATCTCAGATGCGAAATATATATCCTTGATTTATTAAAATGATTCAAAGTATCATTCCCAGGGCATATTGAAGTTGGTGACAATGGGAGAATCTCAATCACATCCCCCTTGCGTTCCTCTCTCTTCTGAGGTTCCGCCCCTCTGACCTTCTCCTCCAATGAGTTTTGAGAAGGAGGCGAGGACGTGATGAGTATGCAATTGAGACCTTCCCGTAGTGGTTGATTGAGGGTGATCTAAGACTTTCTATTAAATTGACAAGATAGTCAAGTGTCCTGTGACAATGGAAATGCATGTCCTCAAAGATGGAAGGCATGCATGAGGAGGCGAGATCAGGTGGGACCATTCTAGCCAATGAGTGGGCAGATACGCGCTTGAACAACAGGCACAACTATGTCGTTTTTCTCAAAGTTGCCAGAATGTCACGTGCATCCACTTATATCACTACATTTGTAACAGCCTAAACATTACGTAACTTTTATTTGATCAATTAAGACTCACGTAATTCTACAATCTATCTCATAGACCTCCTCACAAAAAAGGTATTATCTCACGCGGGAGGATTTAATATAAAGCGGGGAGGAGTAAATCCTCTCGCTTCGCGTTTTCCTCTGGGTTGATCCCGATGTTGCGGTCACACTCTCGCGCGATGTTCCTTCAGATTGAAGAAAATGAGCGATGGCAATTGAATACAAAACTGAAAAAGATTTCGATATCGTTTTCAACGGAGAAGGTTTGTTAGAATCATCAACTCATCATGAATACGAGGGGCTACAAACGAACATTTTCAAGATTATTGTGATAGGAGACTCCAACGTCGGAAAAACATGTTTGACATATAGGTTTTGCGGCGGCAGATTTCTCAAAAACCCAGAAGCAACAATCGGGGTTGATTTCAGGGAGAAAACACTAGAACTCGATGGAGAAAGTATCAAGGTAAGATGGTCATCATCATGGTCATGAATAAGTTATGTGTTACATTGTACGATATAACTGATCCCTGCGGTATAGCCTGGTGATAGGTAACATTGTAGCTAATGCGCCACACCGAATAACGGGACATCAAATGCGGGGCACACATCATTTGTAGGCTTGTAGCCTACCGTAGGTGCATCTGTCCCATTTTTGTATTTATTCTGTGTTAAAATGCCCTTAATAGGCTACCGCTACAACATATCGTATTTAATATTAAAAACCTATTGGTATCTTGCTCAAGCTTGGTTGCAGACATATTACTGTACTGGTCAACCGGCCCCTCCCTATTCCGCAAACTGTCTCAGAGCATTTCCAATCAGGCTGTAATACACAATTAATTGGTATATACAGCCTGACACATTTGTGTGCAAAATCGTGTAAATGTTCCTTACCAGCCAGAATGTTGAATACAATTACATTTAAACTTACTCTACTGGTTGTCTGTGAGGTTTGTACTTCTGCCAGTAGGTCAAATTAGTTTTATATTGGATATTCGGTTCTCTCATCAATAGCTATTGAACCTAGCATTTCATGACAATGGAAAATATTCTGAATCAGGGGAGGATGGAGAACACTTTGTTTTATTATAGATTTTTTGGAAGATTTAAATATCCGAATATCCAATAAAACTAATTTTTCCTTATGCCTAACCAAACCATAGAATGTGCCTTGTGCCTTCAGAATGTATTCATACCCCTTGACTTATTCCACATTTTATTTTTTTTACAATGTGAATTCAAAATGTATTATTTCTCACCCTACACACAATACCCCATAATGACAAAGTGAAAACACGTTTTTAGAAATGTTTGCACATTTATTGAAAACGAAATACATATTCACATCCCTGAGTCGATACTTTGTAGAAGCATCTTTGGCATATCGGCTTTGCACATCTGGATTTTGGGATTTTCTCCCATTTATTCCTTGCAGATTTTCTCAACTCCTGTTAAATTCAATGGGATTGAAGTGTGGGCTTTGGCTGGGCCACTCAAGGACTTTCACATTCTTGTTCTGAAGCCATTCCAGTGTTGATGTGCCTGTATACTTGGGGTTATTGTCCTGTTGGAACGTAAATCTTCGCCCCAGTCTAAGGTTGTTTGCACTCTGAAGCAGGATCTCATCAAGGATTTGCCTGTATTTGGCTCCATTCATTGTTCCCTCCATCCTTATCAGTCTCCCAGTCCCTACAGCTGAAAAGCATCCCATGGCATGATGCTGCCACCACCGTGCTTCACGGTAGGGATGGTGTTAGATGGGTGATGAGCTGTGCCTTGTTTTTTTCCAGACATAGCTCTTTGCACTCAGGCCATAGAGTTCAAGTTTTGTCTCATCAGACCACAGAATATTTTGACTTATGCTCTGTCTTTCACAGGCCTTTTTGCAAACTCCAGGTGTGCCGTCATGTGCCTTTCTCAGGAGTGGCTTCAGTCTGGCCACTCTCCCTTAAAGCCCAGATTGTTGAAGCGCTGTAGAGACTGTTGTCCTTCTGATAGGTTCTCCCATCTCAGCCGAGGAACTCTGTAGTTCTGTGGTCATTGGTCACATCCCTGACTAAGGTCCTTCTTGCCCGGTTGCTCAGTTTGGTCGGACGGCCAGCTCTAGGCAAAGTCTGGGTAGTTCCATAGTTTGAGATCACTGTGCTCTTGGAAAACCTTCAACACTCTAGAAATAGTTTTATACCTTTCCCAGATATATGCCTCATCACAATTCTACCTCGGAGATCTACGGATAGTTCCTTGGACGTCATGGTATAGTTTCTGCTCTGACATGCACTGTTAACTGTGGGACCTTATATAGACAGGTGTTTCTTTTTAAATATTGTCCAAACAATTGAATTGGACACAGGTGGACTCCAATCAAGTTTTTGTGACGTCTCAAGGATGATCAAAGGGAATTGGATGCACCTGAGCTCAATTTAGAGTGTCATAGCAAAGGCGTCTGAATTTGATATTTCTGTTTGCAAACATTTCTAAAAAACGTTTTCACTTTGTCATTATAGGGTATTGTGTGTAGATTGGTGAGGAAAAACAAATAAATTTTAATACATTTTGAATTTAGGCTGTAACACAACAAAATGTGGAATAACTTAAGGGGTATGAATACTTTCTGAAAGCACCAGCTCTCTAAAAAGTCATGTAAACAATACTTTCCTTTTGAATATTTTGCCTGAAATTTCAAGGAGCAGAAGCACAAACTGCACAGACAAATGGTAGAGTAAGTTTAAATGTAATTTTGTTCAACATTCTGGCTCGTAAGGAACATGAACACAATTTTCTGCACAAATGTCTCAGGCTGTATATACCAATTCATTGTGAATTACAGCCTGATTAATCAGACTCACCTCTGCTACCCCTCTGAATATTAGGGGGGGGGGGGGGTGTATTTATCTCTGTAATAAAGCTCTTTTGTGGGGGGAAAAACCCATTCTGATTGGATGGCTGGCTGCCAAGTGGGTGGGCCTATGCATCCCAGGCCCACCCCATGGCTGCACCCCTGCCCAGTCATGTGAAATCCAATAAATAGCTTAGTGCCTATTGAATTAATTGAAATTGACTGATTTCCTTATAGGAACTGTAACTCAGTAACATTTTTATTGTTGCATTTATATTTTTGTTCAGTATAGAATATTTCTGGACTCTTTTATTACAGCTCATGAAGCATGGGACCGGCACTTTACATTATATACTTTTGTATTCAGTTGCAGATCTGGGACACAGCGGGGCAGGAGCGTTTCCGTAAGAGCATGGTGGAGCACTACTACCGCAATGTTCATGCCGTCATCTTCATCTACGACGTGACCAGCCTCGCCTCCTTTGAGAGCCTGCCAGAGTGGATCGAGGAGTGTGGACGTCACTCTGTCTGCCCAATGGTACCTTGCATCTTGGTGGGCAACAAGTGTGACCTGAGGGGCAGGCTGGAGGTGCCGACAGCGTTAGCCCAGCGCTTGGCTGATGGTTACAACTTCCCCCTATTTGAGACATCGGCGAAGGACCCTGCCGAGAAGGAGCATGTCGATGCGATTTTCCTGACGTTGGCTTACAGGTTGAAGAGCCATAAGCCTCTGAGACTGAAGCAGCCCAGTGAGATTAGCAGTGTGAGACAGCTGGGGGGGCAGAGGGAACAGGAGGGGATGCCTTGTCTGTGCTGAGGGGCTATCCTCGCTAATGTTCTTCACTCCTGCTTCTAGAGGGAGACAGTAAATACAGTGCATTCGGAAAGTATTCAGACCCCTTGACTTTTTCCACATTTTGTATTATAGAATTAGGCTGTAGCCTTATTCTGTCAATAAAATATTTTTTTCCCCTTATCAATCTAAAGACAATACCCCATAATGACAAAGCAAAAAGGTTTTTAGAAATATTGGCAAATGTATTCAAAATAAAGAACTGAAATACCTTACATTTTAGTCATTTAGCAGACGCTCTTATCCAGAGCGACTTAAAGTTAGTGAAAGCATACGTTTTTTATTTTATTTTATTATTAATTTTTTATACTGGCCCCCCGTGGGAAACAAACCCACATCCCTGCCAGCCAAACCCTCCCCTACCTTGGATGACGCTGGACCAATTGGGCGCCGCCCATGGGTCTCCCGGTCGCGGCTGGCTGCGACAGAGCCTGGACTCGAATCTGGATTTCTAGTGGCACAGCTAGCACTGCGATGCAGTGCCTTAGACCACTGCGCCATACCTGATTTACATAAGTATTCCGACCCTTTGCTATGAGACTAGAAATTGAGCTCAGGTGCATCCTGTTTCCGTTGATCATCCTTGAGATGTTTCTACAACTTCATTGGAGTCCACCTGTGGTACATTCAATTGATTGGACATGATTTGGAAAGGCACACACCTGTCTATATAAGTCCCACAGTTGACAGTGCATGTCAGAGCAAAAACCAAGCCATAAGGTCAAAGGAATTGTCCGTAGAGCTCTAAGACAGGATTGTGTCGAGACACAGATCTGGGGAAGGGTACCAAAACATTTCTGCAGCATTGAAGGTCCCCAAGAACACAGTGGCCTCCAGCATTCATAAGTAGAAGACATTTGGAACCACCAAAACTCTTCCAAGAGCTGGCTGCCCGGGCTAAACTGAGCAATCGGGGGAGAAGGGCCTTGGTCAGGAAGGTGAACAAGAACCCGATGGTTACTCTGACAGAGCTCCAGATTTCCTCTGTGGAGATGGGAGAACCTTCCAGAAGGACAACCATCTCTGCAGCACTCCACCAATCAGGCCTTTATGGTAGAGTGGCCAGACAGAAGCCACTCCTCCGCTTGGAGTTTGCCAAAAGGCACCTAAAGGACTCTCAGACCATGAGAAACAAGATTCTCTGGTCTGATGAAACCAAGATTGAACTCTTTGGCCTAAATGCCAAGCGTCACGTCTGGAGGAAACCTGGCACCATCCCTACGGTGAAGCATGGTGGTGGAAGCATCATGCTGTGGGGATGTTTTTCAGCGGCAGGAACTGGGAGACTAGTCAGGATCGAGGGAAAGCTGAACGGAGCAAAGTACAGAGAGATCCTTGATGAAAACCTGCTCCAGAGCGCTCAGGACCTCAGACTGGGGCCAAGGTTCACTTTCCAACCGGACAGCGATCCTAAGCACACAGCCAAGACAATGCAGGAGTGGTTTCGGGACAAGTCTCTGAATGTCCTTGAGTGGCCCAACCAGAGCCCGGACTTGAAGCCGATCGAACATCTCTGGAGAGACCTGACAATAGCTGTGCAGCGACGCTCGCCATCCAGCCTGACAGAGCTTGAGAGGATCTGCAGAGAGGAATGGGAGTAACTCCCCAAATACAGGTGTGCCAAGCTTGTAGCGTCATACCCAAGAAGACTCAAGGCTGTAATCGCTGTCAAAGGTGCTTCAACAAAGTACTGAGTAAAGGGTACATTTCAAATAAACTGTTTTTACTTTGTCATTATGGGGTAGACTGATGAGGGAAATAAACTATTTTAATCAATTTTAGAATAACGCTGTAACGTAACAAAATGTGGAAAAAGTCAAGGGGTCTTAATACTTTCCGAACAGGAACAGGAGTGAAGAGCTCTGCCCTCGTGGCTAGTTTCCAATTGATAATGGGCAAGAGACCATGGAAATGGACCTTCATTTCAAATGCATGTGAATGTGATCAAATCATTTCAGTTAACAATGTTCACCTGTTCAGAATTTCAATTGTCATTGTTCTATATGTATCAACAAGATATTAAACAAAACCTCTGCAAGAAAAATAGAATATTGATGGCAATATAAAGACATGGAAGGTTGCTTTTTATTTGAATTTCTGTGGTGATTTTTTTTACTATTGTTTCAAACTATTAAGATGCAAATGGACACCAACAGTAAGGACCAGTGAAGAATAATGCTGATAATGTGCAATCTTTGGCTTTTCATTTTCATTTTTTCAGTGTATAATTTTTTTCTATAAATATTGCATATCTTGAGGTCTCATGTATATACAGTTGAGGTCTAATATATTGGCACCCTTGCACCATAAATTAAATACATGTAATTCAATGTTGGTCTCCACACTTATTGGATTTTCAATACAGCATTAAAAAAACATTTTTTGTGAAACTTAAGTTTACAATTTTAATTAAGAAAAAGGACAAATGGCATTTACAAAAGTATTAGCACCCAGTATACTTGGTTGCACAGTCTTTGGCGAAAATACTTTAACTGCCGGAAAATGCTTCTTTTAGCCATCAATGAGCTTGCTGCAGCTTTCTACGGGCAATTTGGCCCCCTCTTCAGATGTAAACTGCTCCAATCCTTCAATGTTTGAGGGGTGCCTTCAACCAACTGTGTTTTCAGATCTTTCCATAGGTTTTCGATGGGATTCATATCTGTACTCATTGCTGGCCACTCAAGAACAGTCTAGCAATTCTTGCTGTGATGTGTGTTTGGTGATGTTGTCCTGCCGGAAGATCCACGACCTTGTTTGCATTAATTGGAGTTAAAACGAAGGAAGGACTAGTTGGACTGTATGATAGGCTAGTTCAGGATTGTTACTGCCACCATGGCACATTGGTTAGAAAGCGATGAAGAGGAGGAATCAAATAATTCTATTTATTCACATATTTATTAAAGATCGTACACAGAGGCACGGGGGGGGAGGTAGGGTTGGAGGTTGGTTAATGGAGGTTAATGGAGTTTGAGTTGGGGCTTGTAAGGCCATTAGGAAGGTTAAGTTGGGATGGTCTGGAAGGGAGACGAGGGGAACACATCAACATAAAGGTGCGTGAATGGCAAGGTAGTGCCAAGTGACTAGGTAAAGGGAATGGGCTGAACATGTAACATCTCTAAACTTAGGAGGCTGCCAGGTCTAAACATAGCTATAAAAAAGGAGCAATTAGGATAAACTGAGGGCATGTATATAAAGATAAAACATGGGCTATAGCTATACGGCAGCATAGTATTTAGGACTTATATTTCTCCAAACAGTATAATAACCCTGAACACATCTCTCACCACTGAGTCATTCTTATCTTAGCTCACTGGTCACCATAGCAACACCCACCCGTAGTCTGCGCTCCGGCAGGTATATCTCACTGGTCATCCCCAAAGCCAACACCTCCTTTGGCCGCCATTCCTTCCAGTTCTCTGCTGCCAATGACTGGAACGAACTGCAAAAATCTCTGAAGCTGGAGACTCTTATCTCCCTCACTAACTTAAAGCATCAGTTGTCAGAGCAGCTTACCGATCACTGAACCTGTACACAGCCATTCTGAAATTAGCCCACCCAACTACCCCATATTGTTATTTATTTTGCTAATTTGCACCCCAGTATCTCTATTTGCACATCATCTTTTGCACATCTATCATTCCAGTGTTAATACGAAATTGTGACTATTTTTCACTATGGCCTATTTATTGCCTTACCTCCATAACTTACTACATTCGCACACACTGTATATATATTTTCTGTTGTATTTTTGACTTTGTTTTGTTTACCCCATATGTAACTCTGTGTTTTTGTTTTTATCGTACTGCTTTGCTTTATCTTGGCCAGGTCGCAGTTGTAAATGAGAACTTGTTCTCAACTGGCTTACCTGGTTAAATAAAGGTGAAATAAAATACAAAATAAACAAAAATCATGCAAAATAAACGTTTTTGGTGAAATACCACAAGAACATTTGGTTTAGTCAACAATGGGAGGCACACAGTACTACATAGAGCCATGACTACATAGAGCCATGACTACATGGAACTCTGTTCCACATCAAGTAACTGATGCAAGTAGTGAAATTAGATTTAAAAAACAGCTAAAAAAAAATGTATTGAACAGCGGGGACTGTGAAGCAACACAAACATAGGCGCAGACACATGCATACACACACACGATAACATACGCACTATACACACACGTACACATGGGGTTTTGTACTGTAGATATGTGGTAGTGGTGGAGTAGGGGCCTGAGGGCACACAGTGTGTTGTGAAATCTGTGAATGTATTGTAATGTTTTTAAAATTGTATGAACTGCCTTAATTTTGCTGGACCCCAGGAAGAGTAGCTGCTGCCTTGGCAGCAGCTAATGGGGATCCATAATAAATACAAATAATTACATCAGATAATGAAATGCTAATTAAACGTATGATACTATTTCAAAACAGATATTTTTGAAATGCTGAATAGATGGAATAGTAAATGGCAAATATTTTTGTTTTACAGCATTTGGCTATAACTTAACATGCTCCATTTTTTTTTTGTTTACTGCAAACCACATTTTAAAAATAATTTGTATTCAATGTACGGTTGTGAGCATGTTGAGAAATGTCAGGCCTACGCTTTCAGTATCCTTATACAGTACGTACGTAGAACACATCAGAAATAAGAGTGTTGTGGCAAGTATTGTAAAGCAGTTGGCTGCAGTAAAAAATGATTGGTGTAGCACAATGTACAGTGGGGAAAAAAAGTATTTAGTCAGCCACCAATTGTGCAAGTTCTCCCACTTAAAAAGATGAGAGAGGCCTGTAATTTTCATCATAGGTACACGTCAACTATGACAGACAAAATGAAGAAAAAAAATCCAGAAAATCACATTGTAGGATTTTTTATGAATTTATTTGCAAATTATGGTGGAAAATAAGTTTTTGTTCAATAACAAAAGTTTTTCAATACTTTGTTATATACCCTTTGTTGGCAATG